CTTCTGGCAACCCTGCTGAGAGCTACACATCAAAGCCACCACACTGTGCTAATAGTGTCACTTATCCCACAGCCTTTACACTGTCCCATATGCAGTTACTATGCAGGGGGTGTGCACATGAGGGTGAGAGGGGAGTTGACAACGTGCTAGAAGAAACCGTAGGAGATAAACTGAATGTGATTTATCACCTCTAATCCTTGCAATGGAAAACATTTAGGAAGAGCAAATAATTGAGGTCTTTCAGAAATATGCTTTTATTGAAAAAAAAATCCTTGAACTAATTGGAAACCTAAAAATGAAGGATTAAAATATTTTTTTAAAAAGTCATGAGAAAATCTTTAATGTATTTAAATGATTGGAAGACAGAAATTATGCTTTAAAGCAATCTCCTTAAAACTACTTAGTTTTGATTATATGCCTGAAAGAATGCTTTAAAAAAAAACCCTTTCATTATTGTTTTCGTATATGGCAATCACAATCACAGATATCTACATAACTCAAGTTGCTGAAACAAAAATATTTCCATTAAACTGGAAGCAATCAGGGATGATATATCTATATTCTACTTATTACCATCTTCCTTACTGGGCTAATACTATTTTTGCTGTATTTGATTTTTTTAGTCATTGTTGTTTGTATATTTAGTAATCACTGACTGGCACCAGATTGACAGGTTGGAAGGGTGAGAACCATGCAGATAGCGTAGAGAAGTCAGGTATAGCTCTTCCAGCCACAGAAGGCAAAGTGGACCTCTTGTGCCCTTAGCTCTGCAAAAGTGGCTGATACCTGCTCCAGAATCTCTCTACAAGGTCTTGGCTAAATACAATGGCCTTATTTCTAGGTCATTCAATTCAATCGTTTTCCTAGGAACTAAGCTGGCTACAAATGCTTCTGGAGTCTTTAAAACTGTCCAAGGTGTCTGGGAAAAATGCGAAGGAGAAATTCAAATGGCTGAGTTGAAGCATACCATTATGTTTCAAACATGCGGAGAGTTAGTGTAAAAGATTTTTCAATAATATTTCTGTGACCCAGGAGAATAAAAAATAAGTATTTCAGAAAAGAAAATCACCAATGAATAGAAAAAGATGATTGCAAAGAAATGGACAAACCACTTTCATTCCTTCAAATTACCCCAACACCTCTTTAGCAGAGTTTTGGGAATAATACCAGTTTTCCTCTCATTTGGAGGTCAAATCTGACAATTGCAACTCATTGGAATGGAATTTTTAAGCAACAAAGGAAGAAATCATAGCAGGGGTGTCCTAAAGTTTCCACATTTTAAATCTGGGGGAGTTTTTGAGTCCATGTTTTGTTTCCTGTTTAATCTTATAATCTTAACATGTAGAATGATTCTATTTGCAGACTATGTAGGGGCTTTACTTCACAAAGATGCATCAAGTGAAGATCTCTTAACAAAGACAAGGAAAGAGAAGTTTTAAACAGCAGAAAAAGGAAAAATTTAAAAACTTTTGGGGACTTTCAGTCTACACAGGGAAACCTGTGGTCTGACACTGTGCTTCCATATGGGAAAATGTACAAATGAAGTGAATTTTGTCAACTACAGAAAACCTGTTCCTCTCGTCATAGTCTCATCTCAGTTAACAGCATCATAGCCTACCAGAGCTTGAACCATCATCATACCTTCCTTTGTCCTAACCTTCTCTTCCTTACCCAGTCTACATCCAAGTCCTACTGATTCCTTCTCTTAAGTATCTCTTAATTTTACGTCTCAGTCCTCACTGCCACTGCTTTGTTTTTGGGGTAACTGTACATTTGAAACCTTATTCTTCTTCATGCTCCTCATCCAGTCTCGTAAGTTATAGAACATGCATGTGTCTGCTCTTAGTGCTTGATGGCAGAGGGCTTCTGCTTCATGATTTTTTTCTGGGAGCAACTACCTATTTGTTAGTCTCCTCAGTGCTAGTTCATACTGTCAGCTGTCCTCTCTGAAATTACAAGGCTGGTGCTAGAGTGTACCGTGATACTATTGCATCATCTCTAATGGCTTCTGGGAGAGCAACATTCATCATGATCAGTGCTTCCCCAATCTTTTCCTCTACAAACCTTGCCACCTTCATCTCTTCTCATCTCCCACATGCCCCCTACGCTTCAGTGACGAGGAGCTTCTCACTATTCTCTGAATATGCCACTCTTTCAAACTCTGTTTTCCCAGATGCTGTTACTTTTCCTGGAGTGCCCTTCCCTCCTTTCTCTGCACAGTAAACTCCCACTTATGCTGTAAGACCCAGCTCAAATGCCATCTTTTCTCTGAAAACTCTCCCACTCCTGTGAAGAAAAGCTATACTCTCCTATTCAGAGATCCACTGGCCTTTTGTGGACACCCGTATTTGATAGCTGTAGTTAGTGCCATCCCCAGACCCGGCTGGGAAGGGCCTTGATTGAAAGGTCTCTGGCCCTTCTCTAGCTGGAGAGAGGATCTTGGGGTCCAAGGGGTGTGCTACCCAAAGTCCTAGCCTCTCTTTTTTTAAATCATGCTCTGAATACCTGGGATTATAAAACTCTCTACCCAAACAGTAACAGTCCCCTTGGAGATACTGCCTGGAATCCTTTTCCTGGGTCTTTGCTTCTGAGAGTTGTCCATGTATTTGGTGCAAGCACCACTAGGTCTGAAGGATGAAGGGAATGTGTATTGTGGATGGAGATTAAACTTGTTGCCTAGGGTGTCCTCACGCATGTGTCCAAGGGCTTTCATGGTAAAAGGCAGAAGTGGGGATGGAGTAGTGAAAGAATTAAGGAGCACTACAGGCCTGGGCCTGGAGGGCAGTTTCTTTGATGATATTGTTTTCCAACCTTGATCACTAAAGAATCTAGGAATTCTAAACGTGAACCTGGTAGGTCATATTGTTAAGAAGGTATATTTGTCAAGGCAGCAAAATAAAACATATTTTACTCAACTGTTTGTTAGCTTAATTCATAACTTTTAAATATTTAGGCATCTGGTATGTGGGCCTTTATTCATATTCATTCTCAGGTCTAGCATATATTAGGAATGGGCCTGCTTGTAGCATAATTATTTCTTCACATCCTTATCTCTCTGACTGGCCTGAGAATTCTGGGAGGGCTGGGACAGCTTTTTTGTCTTTCTTAATCTTTTTATCCAATAGTTAACCATGTTGCTTGGCAAAGACTAATCTTTTAAAATATATTTGTTGACACAAAGAATTATATTCATAATATTTAGTTTATAAAAGCAAGAATGTGTATGACACACTTCAAAGAACAATGTCGAGACTGGTTAAAGGGAAAAATCTCTGTGATAACTTCATACGATGATGAGGAGTTCAGCTGTTCCGTATACACTATCTTACTTAATCCTCAGAACAACACACTGAAGAATGTACTATTACCCCTATTTTATGGATAAGAGAATAAAAATTCAGTAAATTTCAATAACTTGCACAAGTCCACAAAATATGTAATTACCAGAGCCAAAATTTGAACCCAGGTGTAAAGCCTATGCTCTTTTGATCAGAGTTGCAGCAAAAAAGATTATTAGCATGAATTTGCCTTGGAAATTGTCACCCATCAAGACTTGAGACTTTGGTGCCATTGAGACAAATATCGAGCCCACATTGATGCAATATTATTCTTTCAGAAAACAATAATTTGCATGTGTTCTATATACAGAACACCAGGTAAGGCATTATGAAGAACTATAAAAGAAATATATATACATACATACATAGATGTACACTTATGCATATATATATGTGTGTGTGTGTGTCCATTTCTCAATTGTTTGACTATTAATTGGAACCTTTAACTAAGAGTTCTATTTTTATAAGAAAAAGGAAGATAATGATAAAACCAAATTGTAACCACGTAGTTTTTAGAGCATATTCTGGTATTGAAAATCAGTCAACTCAACTTCTTATCCCTACTACACATATATAGTTTCACTACTGAATGAGAATAATTTCATGTGCTCTATGGTAATCTTGGGTACCATGATATTCTTAATCATCAAAATCTGAATCATGTTGACTAAAACTTATAGGGGTAGGAAAATATATTCATAAATGTATTTGAGGAAAAGTGTTATAAGAAAATGAAGTTTTATTTTTCCTTCAATCTTACCCTAATTGGGGTCTTTATTTCTTTTCTAGCTTTGAAATGTCTAAAAGTAAACCATTTCTCTCAAATCTATTGACAAAATTTCTTAAAAGTCATTATTACAATTCTCATTGCACAGAGCCGCACACACATCATGAGATGATGGTATAAGAATATATTTTTCAATAGCTTTGATCCCTATGTGTGGCTACTGACATTTATAATAATTTACTATTAATATATCTTTTCTCAAAAATGTATTTTGCAATTTTATACTTCTAAGACTGATTATTCATATATGCACCTATAACTTGGGGAATGACAGGAGCAAATTTTCAGTGTTCACAGCACATCTTCTCCTTGGGCAGAATAGTAAGCTATTTATATCTTGGGATATCCAATATCACAATTAGATTCACTCACTCTTTGAACTTCTCTCCTTGTTTACCCTCACCATTTCAACTCCTGCACCCCACACTGAATGTTATCTGAAATTCCACTTCTGGAATGTAATTTATCTAGCTTGGGTCCTATTAAAATGGAAATATAACCAAGAGTGAAAAGAATGAGTGAATAAGAAAATGAATGAAAAGATAAAATTGCTATTGAGTGAGATTTTTTTCCTGACAATTTTCCTTGATGGTGAGGACAAAGGCCTAAGGTGCAATATGATCAAAGAGATTAAGAGGGAGAAAATTCTAGGAAACATGGATCCACAGAAAGAGTAGTTTAAGAATTATTTAAGAAATACCTGGCCAATTATTCACTTTTTCAAAAACCTTGACTTGAATGACCATTTCTATTTCATCTGTGGTTATAGATTGAACATTACTTCTGGCAAACACAAGCCATTTATTATAGGAGGAAATAGTGGTCTCTGGACAAAGAAACTTTCAAGTGTCAACCCCTTAGTTTAGGATACTTACCCTGCTCTGCTAAACCAAGTATCTCCATGTCTAATTGTTATCCTTCATTCACTGGAGAATACAAAGTCCTTTGATGTTGATTGGGTCCAGGAGAAAAAATGTTGAAAGAAAAAAAGACAAAATTGAGAAGCCCTTGTAGCACCACCTTCTTGAATTTTCTTCTCAATTTCCTCTTGCTCCTTTTTCCCCATGTTTATTTTATTTTATTTTATTTTATTTTTTTATTTTACTTTAACTTCTGGGATACATGTTCATGTTTCTTTTAATATGGGTTTTTAAGGGAGTTTTTCTCTCTCTCAAGGAATACAAATAAAAATACACAGTGTTTGGTCCTAAATTCATTTAATAGATAAATTTTCTCATTCAATGGCTCATTGAACAATGTGACAATGAATATGTTGTAGCTCAGGCCACTATGACAAAATGTTATCGACAGAGTGGCTTAAACAACAGACATTTATTTCTCATAGTTCTGGAGGCTGGAAAGTCCAAGATGGAGGTGTTGGCAGATTTGATTCTGAGTGAGGGCTCTCTTTTTGCTTGCATACAGATGCCTTCTCATTGTATCCTCACATGGCGAAAAGAGAAATCTCTGATGTCTCTTCCATTTCTTATAAGGGCATTAATACTATCATGGGGGTCCATGCTCATGACCTCATCTAAACCTAATTACCTTCAAAAAGGTCCGTTTCCTAATACTGCTTTTGCTATTATTAATAGGACTTCTTTCTCAAGTGTTGAACCACATAGACTTCTGCTTTTCTAGTTCTACTCCCATAATTCATTGGGTACTGTGCTACAGATACTGTTTTTAGTTCACCTTCCAAGCTCTCTTTATTTCTTGTTTGTAAAATCTCTCCCCATTTTTCTCTTACTTTCCTACTTACTCTTACATTAAATCTGTTTTCTGTAAGGAACAATTATCAGTCTTAACCAGCATTCTGTTTAATACAGTGTCACGAAGGAAAAATCAATTACTGATATAGATTTATTATCTAAGAATCTATTTTCAATCTTTTTTGAATCCTGTTAAAGTTCAATGACAGCATTTTAAAACTTAACTAGGTCTTAAAAATCATCAATCAATTAAATGTATGCTCATCATACAGATGACACTAAGATCCGGAGAAGTGAAATAACTTTCCAGTGGTCATATACCAGAACTAGAACACAGTTCTCCACAGCAATATTCTTTGTCTAGTCATTATTGCAGTGTTTTATTTCTCCAAATTTTTTTTTCTCCTTCCAAATTTGGCTGTTACTTCCATTGGGAAGCATTGAATTAAGTCTGAGGTTTAGGCACAATTCTGCCTGGGTAGATCAGGTTGGACTACACTAGTGATGAAAATTAGCACATGTGTGTGTGTTGGGCTTAAAACAAGTGAAGACTAATGGAAATCATCCAGTACACCTAAAAGCAATTTAACATTCCCTTCTCTTTGCTTTGGTTTGAAAGTAATCTATATATGTGGGGAGTTCTGAGTGAATCTAAAAAAGGCAGGTGCTTACATTCTCTGAAGCTACAATTAAAAACAATCTTGTTTCTCATGGGCTTGGGGTATAAGATACACATACCATACACACATTTCTATTTGGGTATAAAAATTGTAAGTGTGTGTGTGTCTGCGTGTGTGTGTATTTAAGGTGTTATGGACTATGTTTGAATCAACTTGACTCAAACCATATGGGATTTAGTAGAAATTAAAGGTGGAAGAGATATGTAGCTCATGCAAATTCACTTAAAAATTAAATTTGGATGGGTCAATTATCTAAATAAGAATCAACTACATTGTTTAGGTGTACATTTCAGTCCCATCTCCCTCTTACCCTGAAACCAAAATTAGAACCTCGTTTTTGAATTAAGACTCTGAAAAGATTAGCGTTTTGTAATGATTGGGGTAGAAACTTTGAAGCAGAGATCTAAAAGGCATGTGTTTCAGAATTAAATGCTCAGGAAATTTCCATATAGTAATTATTCAGAACCTGATAGATTTGGTGGCTATTGCAGAATGCTCAAGCATACAGATAACTCTCTAACGGTAAGAGATGAATATAAAAGATATTCAATTTTTAAATATTTTTCTCGCATTTATCTTCGAGCTCATTCTCTCCCATCTCCCTCTTGCTCACTGCACTCCAGATAAATTGACCTTTTTACTGCAGCATGTGCTGTTCCCTTGCCTGGAATGCTATTCCTCCAGAAGGTCACGTGGCTTATAGTCTCACATTAAGCACCTGCTCAGGAAGCACACACTCAGAAAAGCTTTTGTTGACCATAGTCTCAAAAGTAGCATCCTAGCACTCTTAATTCCTTCTCCCAGCCTTATGTATTTTCATAGTATTTATCACTAACAATTTTTAATGTTTGTTTGGTCATTTGTTTTGTCTGTTGTTCCAGTAGACCGTAAGTTTCATGAGAATGGGGACTTTGTTTTGTTCCCTTCTTATCCCTGGGACCCAGAAAAGTGGCTGTTCTAAGAGCTAAAAAAGAAAACTCATTTTTAAATACAGGAATTATTTCCTGAGTGAATATTATCCATTTCCCCTTCATAGGGCACCTGCCACATGTGGGGGACACGTGCCTCTAAAGGAGTCCTGGTTAGAAGCTGCAATATCTTTCTTTTTCTAAAACTTCTTTTTCTTTCAAAGAAGTTGAATCTAAAGAATTTTGTAACTTTGGATTCAGTTTTTTACTATCAAATTAAAGCTAAAAATGCTGCCAGGAAGGAGGGAAAGCCAGATTGGAGGGGGAGGAGGCGAGAGGTAGAAGAAGGGGAAGCAGAGAGTTGGGGGAGGAGATGGCTGAAAGATCCAGGAAACCTGAGGAGAGGCAACAAAAACCAATTAAAGTTAATGAACTACAGCTAAGCTTTTTATTTTAGTTTTTCCCCCCTCACAGTATACCAGCCTTAACTTGGAATTATTTTTCTTGGAGAGACACTTTCAAAAAAGTAGACTATTTCCTCCCTACCCCCATGCTCAGAAAAATAATATAACACTTTAATCAACAAAAGCATGAGGGTATGTTTTGTGCAGCTATCTAGTGGATTTGTCACTTGGCCTTCAGCCTTGGTTCTACCACCTACTAAATTTTGGCAAAATCCCAGAATGTCACAAATCCTGTTCTCCTCTATCTTCACATAAGCTGAAAGTCGGCCCTACTGAGTAGTTATCTGGAGGCAGGAGGCGGAGGTCCAATTGTAGTATCTAATATTAGAAATAGAGACGCCTCCAATGGTTTTTGGCAGACTGAGCCTACAAAGAGTGGCTCTGGCTCTCCTACTCAAACGTCTTAAATAGTTTATATATCTGTTTGATTAATTTGGCTGGAAACATGATTGCAGTTAATGTATTAGGTATAAAAGTTTAGAGGAAGATTCTTATGTCAATGATACCCATTTTCTAGAATAACTTATTCTATCAAGCCAGCTATATTTAAATGATGAATCCTACTGATAATAAAAACCTACCTTATATTTATTATTTTTTATTATCCACAGAACCCCCCTCCCAAATTTGAATATGAATGAAATGTACTTCACTAACATTTTCTATTCATTCAACATTTTGGCAAAGTATCACATTCAAATTTATGATTCCATTCTATAATGCAAAAGTGGTATACACTCATCTAAATTATTTCAAGATATTCTAAAATCTGAGCTTTTGACACTCAGGTTTCCCACTTGAAATATAGTTTCAAATGCTCTGCTTTCGAATAATCTCTTCCTCAACCTTTTGCCTTCACCTCAGGCTTGAAATCATAGAATTTTTGCTATGTTATTTCTCAGCTTCCCATTTAATTCCATTCATTTCTTTTTTGACTTTTAAATGATATACAATAGTTGTCTTTTCTCAAAGAGTTTAACAATTATGAAGGTAATAGTGGCCTTAACTAAATTTTTGGTTGAATGCTGGCTTCTCTCTCTATCTACCCAATCTCTTCTCTATGTTTGACAGATGCGTCAGAATCTCAGGGTGCTCACTATTGCTTAAGGAAGCACATCCTTTGTTGGGAAAATCTAATGCTTAGAAAGTTGGTGAAAAACACATATACCGTAACTTCTACTCATCCATCTTGGCTCACTTGGTGATTCATTAATTCATTCATTTATACATGCACTCAATAATAATCTGTTAAAATTCTACCACATATAGAGGCTATCACAGCTCAAGGCCCTAGAGCGTCACAAAATTAGACTATTCTGGTACACACTGCCTCCTTTTCTGAGTGAGAAAGAGAAGAAAAAACTACATTTGTAAATATAAATATTCCCACTTCTACTTATCCTGACACAATATAATTTTAAATTCCATTCTGTTTCTGGTCACTCTCCTCCAGAAAAGCCTTTGTATGTCAATGTCCCACTTAAAATGTACATCCAAATATGAGTGGGCTTTTTTTTCACATTTAAAGAAGAGTAAAACTGTTACCTCCCACATTTGAACACATGCTTTCTCTTAATATAAAAAATATAAAAGTGGGCTTTTTTCTTTCATGTATTTTAGTGTTGGTCATCACTTACTTTTTATATGATCTGAAAACTTTCGATTTTGAAATCAAAATAAAGTACAATTAGGTCAGAAATTCTCCATGCTGCTTTTGTATAGTGTGTGTGTGTGTGTGTGTGTGTGCATTGTGTGTATATGTTTATGTGTGTGTAAGAGAAAGAGAGATTAATGCAACCCTCAATTTTGTTTTTAAGATTTTTCCATATTATAGTTCATCTTGTCAAATGATCATTCTTCCTATCTATATAGAGTGTGCTTATAACTAATGTAAATAAGATGAGCATTCCACTTACTAACAGTAAAAAATATAAACAGATAATTTACAAAATAGTGAAAGTAACGTCCAATACATATATACAGATTTAGTCCTCAATTACAATAAAAATGTAAAGTGAAAGCTTAATAAAATACAATTTTTTACTCACCAAATTGCCAAAGGTTGATTACTTTGTTTTCAAATGTTGATTCAATACTCACGGTAAGGAAGCTAAATGTATTTATTTATTACTTGTTTAGGTATAAGTATAGTCATTACAATCTTTTCAGAAGCCATTGGAAAATGTAGAGGAAGAGGTGATCATTAATAACATTCCTTGGGTCATATTCTAAGAATATAAATGAGAAATAGAATTAATAATTTATGCAAAAAACAGTTTAGCACTATTTATGACAATGAAATTTCAAAGTAGTTTGACATCCAACAACAAGAAAATGGATAAATGAGTCATACATACCACCAATGAAACATTGCAGTTATTTACTGCCATTTAAAAATATTTAATATCATGAAAGACCCTTTCATTATAATCTTAAGAGAAGACAATAAAATATTGAATTATATTTAAACTGTAACTTTCATGAATTCAAGGGTATTTGCCTGTTTTATTTATAGCTGACTGTCCCCTGTACCTAGAATATTGCCAGGCTCTAGCAGGCATGCCGTGCATATATGCATAAGAAGTAATGGATGGATATGCAGAATGTTTTCACTTAAAAATACATACACACACACACACACACACACACAACATAAGAAGAAATATCATGAAAATATCAGCACACACACACACACACAACATAAGAAGAAATATCATGAAAATATCAGCAAAGTCCATCTTAGTGTTGGCCATTATAACAGATTTTACTTTTTATATCTTCAGCAATTTCCAAATTTTTTATATTTTATAACTGGAGAAAATTTACTGAACCAATAGCCTCGTTCACTTCAACGAATAATTCTGACTTGTGGACATATTTTTTTATTTTTGTGCTTCTGTAGTTAAATTCTGAAGGCATCCCTGATAAATTTGGCATATTTGCCTTTCAATTGTATACTTTCTGAGTAGGATAGAATCCTTTACAGTACTAGATCTTTCCCTACAGTTTGAACAAGCTTTAGAACAATGATTTTAAACCTACCTTCTGCCAACTGTGTTAGAATGTGGGAATCAGCCCATACCCTTCTACCTTGTTCATGATGATTTGTAAAATGTTGTTAATAGCTTTTTGATAGCAAAATACATGTGTGTAGATTTCATCCTGACTTGTATGTCTAGTTAGGAAGCTTCTCAGAAAAAAAAAAAATAATAACAAGGTTAGTTTGGCTTAGTTTGATCTTCGTGATCCTTGCAGCAATTGTGTCTCTCTCTTTTAATTTTTATGTGCCAAATATTTGAAGATTGTAACCAGTTTCAGAATTTTGTTTGTATGATGTCAAACAACTTTCTCTTCTTTCCACTATCTACATTTTTGAAGACGAATAAAACATCTGCTTGTCTCCTGAGTAGCACCTAGGTACCTCTCCTTGATGCTGTAGTCTAAGAGAATTCACCAAGGATCCACTTACTTTCACATTTGCATTGTTCAGTAAATTGCTTTTCACAGATAACCTTAGAGACGCCTTTCAGTTTGCCTGGATGTTGTTCACTAGGTTTAAATGCTTAAATACATTTTAAATGGTAAAATGTTTTCTTACTATGCTTTTGCATTTTTAATTTTCTAATTCAATGCTTATTTTGCATTTACCTGTAGGAGGTCATTCTAAGGATTATGGAGATAAACCATGGAAAGGGGTAAGACTCCTTTGTTCTTACCTTCCTATGAAAACTGATAATAACACCTCTTGAGATTATTCTTTAACCCCTCTGCAGCTGAATTTTCTGTGCCATCTTTTACATTTCCACCATATTGGAGGGATATGTTTTCTCTTAACTTTCTATTTTGAAACAATTTCAGAATGACAGAAATGTTGACAAAAAATAGCACAAGTAATTAAACTTCATCTAGACTCCCTAAATGGTAATCCCATCCCATCCCCTTTTGTTAAACTGTTCAAGAGTAAGTATTGCCTCTTTACATCTAAATGTTTCTGTGTGTATTTCCTAAAAAATTAAGAATGTTCTTTTATACAGCCAGAGTATAATTACACAAATCAGGAAATTGGCTTTTATACAAAACTATACTCTGTTATAATTTGTGTGTGTGTGTGTGTGTGTGTGTGTGTATATATATAGTAAATAGTAGTACAAAAAACTTACTCAAGTGTTGCCAGTTATTCTAATAATGCTTTTTAAAGAAAAATATATATTTGTTCTGGTCCAGGATCACATGTTGTATTTAGTTGTCATATATTTTGAGTCTTTTTTATTCTGATAATTCTTCAGTATTTCTTTCTTTTTCATGACCTTGACATGTTTGAAGAATAGAGACCAGTTATTTTGTAACATGTCCCTCAGTCTTTTTCTTTGTCTGGTATTACTTCATGATTAGATTCAGATTGTGCATTTTTAGCAGGAATACCATGAAGTGATGTGTCATTCTCAGGAGGCTCTTGATGTCCATTTGTCCCGTTAATGGTGAATTAACTTTGATCATTTGGTTAAGGTGGTATCTGCCAGTTTTCTCCCATAGTTACTAGTTCCCCTCCATAATTAATAAGTATCTTGTGGGGAGATACTTTGAGACTTTGTAAATATCTTTTTTCATCAAATATTCACCCTCTTGTTTTAGTATAATTGATCATTTGTGCTTGAGTTAAACATTACAATAATTATTTCCACGTGGTGAATTTCTACTTTCAAATTTTTTTTACATTCATTAGTTGGCATTTTTTTCTATAGAGGTGAGCTTTTCAATTCCTCTTTTAAACTATTTATTTACTTCTTTATATTAGAATGGCCTTGTGGATTCTTATATTGATTTAATAAAATTAAATGATTACTATTGTATTATTATTTATCACACACAATGCACAATTTGTCCCAGATTTGGCCAATGAGAGCTCCATTCAAAATTATTTTTTGTGTATCTTAACATGTCCTCATTTTGTGGGGGAAGGGGATGAAGGAAGTGATTTCTTTCTTTCTGGACTTAAAGATGTTCCAAGAGCATCTTGTATTTTCCCAGACCCAACCTTGGCATAAGCCAATATTCTAAGAAGTCCTGTTTTCTTCTAGTATAAAATAATGTTTAGAAACCAACGTAAGAATGGTATGTGTGGTTATTGTTACTGAAGTATCATTGTTTCCAGGCTGTTTCAGACACATACACACACCTGTACACACACACACACACACACACACACACACACACTGCTGTATCTATTTCATTAACTATCTACTTATCTGTCCATCCTTCCATGAGTTCTTATGGATACCTTCAGTCAGAGTTCCTTCCGGTCGTCCTTCTTTCCATAATTGTAATTCTCTTCTCTGACAGTGACAAATATGCCTGGCTCTCTCTATTTTGATATGTCAGAGACGGCCTGCTTTTCTACTTAGAAACCCTTGACAAAGGTTTGAAGTTATAAATTAAATTACTGAGGATAGGGTAAGACAAAGAGGTAGCAATATATTGGAGACAATTATGGAGAACACTGAGTTTCCTGCACATTTTCCCATCTACTTTCAATCTATTGCCCTTTACCTTCTTTTACCACTGGGAGTTTTAAGCTTCTACATTGTTGGATTATTTTAAAGATTATCTTCAGACAGTGGTCTTCCTTTTTCCACTGAGAGTCTCTGTCTATTGAATAGCTAGTGTGAGTCTTTGACTGTATTCTGTATGTGGTAAGGTCAGTAGCCATGCACCAAGGGTGGGCCAGTGGGAGCCGTCCAGCCCAGTCACAGGTTATCCAGGGATCTACGTCTGTAAGGAATTTAAAAACAATAATAAAACCAAATAAAATCACTCTGATTCATGTTATAACCATGCTTCAGCAATATTCAACCTTGAGAAAATACTCTTTCCTGATAGGGTAGAATTCTTCTATTTTGTCCCACTGGTACACCCTTTGAGGTCAGTCAAAATAATCTCATGGACACTACATGAAAATACAGCTAGACTGTGCCATTGTCACTATGTTCTTCTATGTGTTTTCAAAATAAAGTTTTATATTTACTTAAACTTCCTAATGGAGAATTATTTTATAGTTATCATCTCTTGTTGTCAGGTTTAAGGCGCTGAATAAATTGCTACAATTATTGTCCAAATGTGAATGATGAACACACCTTTTAAAAGAAAAAGACGTTCTCATTATGCATTTGGATGTACATCCTTGAACCCTGGTTGGAGAAGAGATGATTTAAGGAACACATGTTTAATGTCTAAAAGTAGTTTGTTCAATTGTGAATGATCACTTCAAAAGAGTTTCTTTATAACTAGTAAAGTATTTGTTTTTAAGCTTACCATCAAAATGAGGGATAATATACAAAAAAAAAAAAAAAAATTCTCATGGGCTTTTCTAATTCTCAAGGATCCAGTCTCAGATACTAATTTGAGAAATCCTGGGCCAGATGTTTTAATTGTCCTCCTGTGTCATTCAAAGAAACATCTCACATATGTTTTTTTTCCCGAAATGCTATTGCATCTGAGAACATCTGCAACAGTCTGAAAAAAACACATTTTAAAAAAACATTTTGCTTTAATCTTTCTATAGATATCAGATATTCTCACGGATTCTGTGATGTGTGATATATTAGCTTTACTGAAGAAACACTGTTCATCCCTATGTCTTGAGTAGTGTCCATGTGAATTGAAAATGTATCAACTTTGTGAATATCCTTAAATTCTTCTTTCAAAATTGTGAAGACGATCTAGAGTGAGATTGGGTCATGATAGAAACCATTTTATAGATCAAGTGACTGTGATCACTAAAATTTTGGAAGAGATATACTTAAGTAATGTAAGAAGCAGGTCCAAGTTGTGTGTTCCCTAACACTTTAGAAAAAGACTCTGTGAACAATATCTAGAATTGTCTAACAGGTAGGAGATAAAAAATTCCAGATAGAAGAGTAATTTCTTCCTATACTGTCAATTGGAGAAGTAATATTTAAAATGAATTGACTGAATTACTACAAATATAAGTTTTTCTTTATGCTTTTATGAAAATAGAATTGGTTGAGACCATGTGGGGCCCTTAACTGCTTTTTGCGTGGGAGGAAAAATGAATGATTGTTCTATTTATTGGTAGAAACTTATTAACTCTGAAATTTCTAGTTTTAGCATTTATGTAATTTGATTTTGACCTATCACTGTTTAGAGATGGAGCTTAAACTGAATATCTGTTTAAAATGGAGGTATGCAATCTGAATTCCTTGTAAGTTTTTTAGCACATTTAAATT